GTTGAGAAGAGGGTCAGCCCACTTCCACGCTCGTTCAGGTACTTCAGTCATTGAGACAAAATCGAACCCTGGTAAATGAAAACGTGGACTAAAACCTGCGGTCCCCTGGTGGTTTAATTTTGACCCATACCCATTTCGGTCACTGAGACAGGAAACAAGTCAAATGGGGCGGGATGAGGCGTCAGGCGGCCAAACCGCTGAGTGAGGGGCCATCACGCTGCCCTGGCCTTATGAAGCAATCGAGCGCTCCAGTTGAGTTAGTGAACCTGGAAGAAAAGGACAACTCCTTGACAAACAAGGTGCACAAACAAATAAAACAAACCACCCTCACTTGGAAAACATGAGGTTGTCTTTGAAAGCATGCTCCGTGGGGTTGATCATTTTTGGAGGGGAACCTACCAAACAAAGGATTAAAAGCATGCCGCTAAACAATTGGTGTCCGGAAGAAATGGCGATGCGTCACTCAGGAAGAAACCCTTGTTGGTCAACAGCAACTACAGGGTTGCTCGTTACTGACCTGACAGTTCCAGGTTTTGCTCGGCGAACTTTTCCTTGCCAAAAGGTCGGTCATTTCCGTTACAAATAACAAATCAACCAGCCACCGCTCTGGCCGTACGCTAATTTTCAAGCCACATACTCGTGGATATTTCGGCCGTTGAAAAGAGCCTGACAGCTTGAAAATGTCAAAATGGAACAATCTCCCCGCGATTACTTTCTTTCAGAAGAGCTCCATGCAAACTAAAGAGGACGTGAACCACAATGTCGCATGGCGCATCTTATCAGCCTTAAAGCCTTGAAGGGTTGTCGACCATGCCCAAAACCCGCAGTAGTAAACAATTGCGTCTGACGTATAAGCAATATATATATATATATAGTGTTCCCAGAACGGACATAGGAACATGAATCGGGCCCCTTGCCCGCGTGAACGATAAAGAGTCTGCCAGGTTCCTCCAAACCTTGGTATATGTTTACTATGAAAAAACCTCAACCGCGATTGGGCCAAAACGGAAACTCCCCCAGTTCAAGATTGCCCGTTTTGCGGGTCTACGGCGACTCACGCATAGTCGGCTAGAGAGCATTGGGCGTGCACTGAATGCATACTGTGCAAAGGGACGCTTAAAAGCAGAAAAGCTTGCAGATGTACTCTTGATGGGTGTCTTGTGTCTAGGAAATGCAATCAGCTCATCCTAAAATCAGATCCAGCCGGATCCTAAAACAACTTTCGAGGATACATGACTGCTGCCAAGGGCAAACGCGTAGGTCTGCAAAGCGACTGGGGCCACGTGGCAGAATTTGGAGACTGACACTACAAAGCAACTTGGGTGAGTAGCTGTTCCGCATGCTGGACGACGTGCTACGTTTGATCAAAACATTGGGTATTTTTCAGAATGAAGCAACGCCAAGAAACAGTTGGAGAGTACCAGAAGCACACTCAACAAGACACCAGCTTAGTAAACCCGTCCTACAACAACGGGGGTGTTCGCTCCAAAAGTGAGGAACCCCCACTAACCCCCCTATTAATCAACAAGGGGTGCAACCATTTTTGAAGTCAACACCCGCAGAAGTTGGCTTTGCACAGAAAGAGCAGAAGAGTCGTGTCCAACAAACTGTTGTAACAATTCTGCGATGGAGACATGTTCATATTTCTGGGTGAATTATAATATTTCACCAGCCTGAAATAAGGTGGTTTGGGGGCTATTCCTCACATAAACCTCCATTTGGGGTGAGGTCGTGTGAGGTCGTTATAATTCACCCAGATATTTGACCAGTACCATAGAACAACAAATTCAGCTCTGCCCCAGAAAAGCAACACGGAATGACTAGCATGGGACCAATGGAATTGCCGTGGCAGATCACTCCTTTGAATGTTTTAAACAAGCGACAACAAGAGAAAACCAACCGTTTTGGGAGATCCAAACCTATTCTATTACCTCGACATCATGGTGTCTGGCAAAACTGCCAAGCCGCCGTCCATGCGGCAGGCACAAGGCGTGGGCTCTGGTAAGCTTGGCGATGCCAAAGTGGGGCCGAAAAAATCGGATCGCAGCAAGCCCTTCCTTCGTGGGAGCCCGAGATTTTTACAAAGCCCCACAGAAGAAAGGCCCAACATCTGAGCGAGATTGTATGCATGGGAGTCTGGGCTGCCCTCAGATCCCCCGCTAAAAGTTTCACTTTTAGTGGGTTAAATGGAAACTACCACTAAACACTAAAAGGCTGTTCAAGGTAAACTCCAAGAAAACCGCTTCACGCTTTAAGGCAAAGGACAAACCCACACAGAGACTTCTGTCTGCCCGTAAGGACATCCTACCCCTCCTTTCCCGGCATGTGAGCCATAAAAGTTTGCCGAAACGGAGAGCCCCCTGGTTTTTGTGCTAACCGCGAGATTTGGAGATTTCACCATCCCTCCCGGCTGACTATTGACCACTGACTGACCCCGATTGAACCATATACAAGATCGGACTTTGGCAGAACTTCAAATCTGCAATGGCCTACGAACCAGCTGGTGTACATGGGCAAACATGCTTCTGGCAAAGGGCCTCAAAGAAACTGCGGATGTTTCTATGCTCGCAGTTTCAAAATGCCAGCTGTCCAGAAGCCAGACCAAACTCAACAAACCGTGGTCTTAATAGTCGTAGCTGCGACGACGTCTTTGGACACTCCTGCTGTGTGAGTCTGTGGGTGAAATCTCCAAGTGGGTGGTCCAACTGAAGTTGGCGGAACCCTTCGCGATGCTTTCGCGGCACAAGTCACTTTCGGGGGCGTGGTTTAAATAATTTTCCGCTGAGCTTTCGCGTTTGCTTCACTGGGCGAGGTCGTTTCGCGGAGGGACAGAAAGCGAAAACCCCTTGCGCCAGTTGCTGTTCACTCAGTCTTCAACATACTCAGCAAAGCCAGCTAGTTTCAAGCCTTTGAGTCAGCACCATATCAAGGAAGGTGCTGGCAGTGCTCGCGAACCAAACTTTGTCACCCATGGCATGCTGAAAATCACTGGCAAGGCCTCAAAAGCACTCTGCGCGTGGAGCTTTTTGTGATCGCTAGGTGGCACCATCTAGGTCCTCCAGTAGAGAGGTTAGAATAAGGGTACCAACTTTTTCCGTAGTCTATTTTAGCAGGGGGGGTTTCATCCCAAAAAAGAAACGGTAAAAAGGCGCTACTGGGGGACCTATGCCTAGCCACGCGCCCGGCACACTCGTGCTGAGTCTGGGCTCTTTGGCCCCGGAACTCCTTCGGCCTTCGGGCTCGAGTGGCCGGGTGAAATCCATCTTAAGATGGCATGCGTAAGAGGAACTGCACAGAATGCACCAACTGTGTCCATCCTATGCCGAAGGAAAAGCTGCTTGCCCACAGCCCGTCCCCGTAATTAATTGAGAAACGGTTCCCCCCTTTTGAACAGGTATACCATGCAAAAACAAAAACATGTTCTATCATGAGTCAGTCGTTTTGGGGTGTAAAGTCTCGTGCTTTGTCCACTTCTGGTTGGAGGCGGTCATGAGCAGCCAAAACCTGTCCCCGCAGCCCCAAGTGGCCTTTTTTTGTTGCATGTGTCCCCCTTTTTTGTAGGTCAAAGGCTGACAAAAAATGGCTGTTGGGGGGTCCAAAGGGTTTAGGGTTGAACTTTGTTGGTTGGCAGGACTCGGAACGTCAGGAGCTCGGGCTCGTTGCTGAATGTTGGTTTGTGCGGGGAAAAGGACCACCCCCCTTTCCGGGCCTGAACAAAAACTCACAGGGATTCGGACGCATGAAAAACACCTGAACATTGCAACTTGTAAATGGTGTTTCCAACTTGATGTTGGTGTTGAAAAGCAACATGTTTCAAATGGTTGCAACATGTATCTTTTAAGGAGCCCTGACAAATTAGTGCTATTTAGTATCTTTGAAGCGGCTTTTTCTAATTTGGCATTGGGCCCGTGGGGGTATTCAACAATATTTGTTTGTTAGGGAGACCGTGATTCTTAGAGGGAAGTGATTGCGAATCAAAAACAAACACGTAATTGCTCTTGGCTGGCAGATAGATCTGAATACTCATCTCTGGGTGCTTTAACCCCTGCTAAGGCAGCAGTGGGAAAAGGAATCTTTGTCGTGGGGCCTCAGGTCGCAAAATTTTCTTTGTGGGGTCGCTCTGCTCGGAAAGATCTCACAAAATGCTGCTTCGGGGGCTTCGCAAAAAATGTAGGTCCTCGAATAGAGAGCTTAGAATAAGGGTACCAACTTTTTTCTGTAGTCTATTTTAGTAAGGGAACCCTCCCCAAAAAATGGTGAAAGGGCACTGCTGGGGAAGAAATATTGGTGTTTTCGGATGGGTGCTTGTGCAGGACGTCCTGGCACCCCGGGAAACGCGCAACTAGGTCACTGCGTACAGAGCGTCTCCCGCCTCGAGAGGCCAAGCCATCGCTCAAACAAAAATATGTCAAGGGGTGCAAAAAGCAAGGCTTCGCCTTTGGTTTTGGCCCTCTAAGGGGGGCCATGAATTCTCCCAAAACGGAGGGGGGAAGAAAGGTAATGCCTGCGTGAAAGGCAAGCCCCGGTGAAAAGCTGGCCGAACCGTGTTTAATCCTGGACTTCCTCCAGCTATGTTCCTGTTCCTGTCCATGTTTGTCTAAGGGCTCAAACGCCACACAACAGAGCCCTGTCGCTGGCTTGATGGAGTTGAAACTCTCGCAAAGAGACCCCAAGAAGCAATGCTTAAGGGATGCAGAAAGAGAGAGAGAGAGAGAGAGCACATCGTGCGCAAACAGTTGTGATTTCGGTTGGCTCGGAGATACAAGAACACAGGCGAAGTTATAACAGTGCAGCATCCCTAGACACGTCCCCAACTGAGTTTGGGGTAACCGCGCCGAATGGACTGGGCTACAGAAAGGGGAAGCTTGTTAAATCACGTCAGGGGTTCATATTCCACAAGTGAAGTAGGGATTGTACAGCAGTGGTACTGCTTGAACAACACCACTTGATCTTTGGGACTGGCCGATACGAACAGGCGCTGCTTTGGTCTGCTTGCTGACTGGGAGGAAGTCTCTGAACCGCCCATGCTCGCCTTTGCCTGTTTTCAATTGCAGTACCCTGATCACATTCATACTGAGACAGTCATATCTATTCTGGGTATCAGGTATCCCGTTGCAAAACCATTCTCAACACTTCAGGTCAGCCCTCATAGCACACGCATCGAGTAAGGGGAAGTGACCAAACCTTGAACCTGCGAGCTGAACTCTGGCAAGAACTTTTGACCAATCCACAACGCCCACTGGCAATCCCTCGCAGAAACTCCGAGGCTATACGCGCGGCCTTTACAGCAATACAGAGAGCTTCCGGGACGGAGCACAGCTTGCCTGTTTGCTTGTTTCCTGTCCATGCAATGCTGCAAGGGATGTCCCGGCCACAGAACATCAGCAATGAGGGCAACTGACAAAGGCTTTGCTTACGAAGAAACGATCCCAAGCTTCTAATTCCTAAAGCAACACATCAACCAAATGAGTTGGCAGCTCAGATTCAGGATGGGTAAATCGCGGATACTTCTGGTTGCCGATCGGGAGCTGCAAATTGGCGCGCAGAGTGTGAACGCAATAAAGTCCGGGCGTGTATCACCAACCTAAATTGTGCTTTCCTGACGACACAAAAGTGTGCCATACACTGAGCCAGCGCATTGCTTGATGAGCTTCACAAGTCCTTCAATGCTCAAAAGATCCATTCACCCGCTTTGTTTCGCCAGTTTGTATCACCTGCTTGGATCTGCCCCCCCCCCCCCAACCACCTCCCCCCCCCCAACCACCCAACCACCCCCCACCCCCCCACCCCCCCACCCCCCCACCTCCCCACCCCCCAGCCCCGTTTTGGTCGGGTCAAAGACACTCAGATCCATCCCGATCCGATTTTCGGGCTCCGGGCCCTAAAGTCCATGTGATGCTGGAGGTATTGCCGAAACCTCAGAGAGTCTCCACCAAAATCCAACGGGCGCCTTGTGGACAGCAACAAAAAGGATGGCCCTTCCAATAAATGGTGTCCATTCTCTCTGCTGGAAAGGGACTTATGCCTGCCAAACTGGTGTCCATTCTCTGGTGGAAAAGGCCAAACTTACGTCTTAAACAGCGAGTGATTCAGGGTGCCAAGAGACAATTACGAGGGTCGGGATTGACTGAGGCGCCCAGGCGCCCGATGGCCAAACCAAACTCTCACTCGATACCTCGGAGATGACAACCTCTCCCGACGTCGGCCAACTGCCCCTATGAAGCAACCAATAGCTTTGCCCCCAATGTACATATCTATAGGTCCTCCAGTAGAGAGGTTAGAATAAAGGTACCAACTTTTTTCCGTAGTCTATTTTAGTAGGGGAACCCTCCCCCAAAAAAGGGTAAAAGGACACTACTGGGGGACCTAGACACATATAGGGCTAGAAGTCAAGAGTCCCGGAGCTCGATTTAGGGGCCGCTTTGCTGCGATCTCCCGCTCCCGCTCGCTCCAAAATCGAGACGAGTTCAGGTTGCAGACATTCACAACAAAAGGAGCGATCGATTTTTGAGCATTGTCATGTACCTGTGTTGTCGTTGTGTTGCCTGGCATTCCCTGCTCTGTTGTTCTTTTCTTTTTTGCTTTTCTCTCTCTCTCTCTCTCTCTCTCTCTCTCCTCCTCCCCCGCTCCTCTTGATCAAGAGCACGCTTGCCAGATAAGGGTGCAACTGATGTGTCTTGCGTAACCCCTGCCCGAAAGCGCGAAGGCAACTTACTGCCATGCTACTTTCCTCGAAGTGGAATGCGCATATGTCGCTGCATTTGTGGCAGGCTGCCAACTGACAGTCGGTACGTCATATTTCCCGGGTAATATGAGCGTACGCCAGCCTCGAGTCACAGAACATGTACATCACCAATATGCATATACAATGCTTCAGATATCGATGCTGACCAGATCAGGAAGGCTGGGGTCCACCCCCAAACCTTCCATTTGCTTGAGCCCCCTGAAAAAAACAGAAAACACTATTTCCAGTAGTCATAGGTTCCCTTTAAAACCAACAGGGGAAAATA